GTTCTTATCCCCCTCCCCCCACCCCCCACCCCCCACCCCGCCCTCTTCCGAAAGCACAGCAAAGTCCCATCGTAGCACCGAAACCGCAAAACCTGCAGAAAAGCGCGCGGCCTCATACCAGCGTGCGTGGCCCTAAATCCTAAACCCTAGCTTAAACCGCTGCTCGACTGGACTCGAAGGGCTCAGCCGGCCCCTGAGTGTAAACAGGACGAAGCCATCGAGGCCTTCTTTGCCAGACCTTCAGCCCCTGGTGGTAATTGAACTACGAACGAAAGGGCATAGGGTAGGGGGGCTTAGGGGTTTACAGTTTACAGTAGGGTTTAAGGTTACAGGGTTCGAGGTTTAGGGTCAAGGGCTAACTAAGGGTTTAGAGTTCAGGGCTTAGGCTTACTAACCGTCGGAGTACGACTAGGGGCTTAAGCGCCGGCAATGCTGACACAGCATGCGCTATATGCCCTTTGCCATCCCGCAGCGAAGATGCTTTCCTCAATGACTTGAAAGTGGAAGTCCCAAATCGTGTTGCACTCTCAACTGCGAAACGCTAGTGCCCAAAGCGATGAAGGCCTACTACGCAGGAGATGTAGTTTTAGAGTATTCCTGTGGGCTAGTGGGCACGGAGGCTCCAGAGGAGTTCTACATAGGAGTATGTAGTTGCCTGAGTGTCGCGCGCCACAACCTCCAGGTGCTCATAGAAACTTCCGGGTCGGATGGCGACCATGATGCAGCGAAGCCTGGATGCAAATCTCGGGGCATGGTTGACTGTGTGTTGATGTCGCGACTTCAACGGTTCAGCGGCTGTGTCGTGCACGTCGGGTGTCATCAGGGTGACGAAGCGCGCTGTCGGTTGTTTACCGGTAATATAGGGGCCTAAATACTTGCCTATACTATTTTGGGGGTTCCTGATTAAATAGTTATACTTTAATATACCTCAAAACCCTATTCTATTATTAAGGCTTCTACATTAGATCATCTACGGTTGGACACTGAGCCTTCGAAGCTGCCCTGAACGACAAACAGGACCACGCCGAAATCAGTGAAGCTCATTCTCTGACCGTTCAAGAAGATGGTGGGTTTGCAACTGTGGAGTTCTGAATGATGATCTGCGGCCTTCAAACATATCCCTGCACTCAACCAGAAGTAACATAGGGGCCTTAATGGTTATACCTTTTCTATTTTGGGGACTCCTTGCTATAATTATAGTATAATGGGCCCCAAAACCCCATTCTAATTATTAAGGCCCCTATATGATGCTTGCGGAGTCGCTCGGATAAATCTGGTTACTATCCCTCAGTCAAGGAAGCTCCACAGGTTCCTGGAGGCCGGCACCAGGACCCTTTTGTAGGGGAGGCTGCTTCTTAGTATCAGGCCTATGCCATATGCTCTCAGCACCTAAATAAGCAGGGTCTGCAGCTTCTGGGGCTCAGATTCTCGAGACTTTCTTCCGGCGATGTATCAGATTATCAGAAAGCCTTCAGCATGTCGTTGAACCATGCGCAGAGTCAAGAACAAACCGCTGCAGGGGCTGGTTGATAGATAGAGGAATATGGGTTCAAAGGCGAAACTGATTGACTTTGCGGGGCTTCATTTTATGTAACGGTATGCACATATGTAGTTCCATCATTAGGTGCACAGTAGAAAAGCGCACACGCTGGCGCACGTACATGTGTACATGCGCAAGTTCTTGAGTATAACTATCCAAACACACACACACACATATATATATATATAAATACACATTACACATATGTACATATGTACACATGTACATCTATACATATATGCATAGATGGGTATACGTATACACATATGCACATGTATGTATATATATATATACATGCATATATATATATATATCCCTCCCTCTCTGTAGAGGTGTGCATGTATATATATATATATATACATACATGTGATTAGATGCATTCATGTGCATGCACATAGACCCCGCGACAATACAAATATGTACGTCTGTAGGATATAGTATATATGCATAGATACAATCGCATACATGCACATACACCTAGAGTTGCAGGCACATATACAAATACGAAAACACATATGTATATACATATACATATATATATATATATATGTTTATGTGTTTACACATACACACTTGCATACATGCATGCAGCATACATACATACATAAATACGGACATACAAACATGCATACTAACATGCATATGTATACGTATATACATACACATATAGACTGTGTGTACCTATGTTGGTAATGCATGTAAGATGCATGTACTGTATTATGCTGGTTCCGATACAGGTAGATCTGTACCACATTCTGTTTTTGCCTGCTACCATTTTACGCAATTTTGTTGAATCATCTGTGTATGTATGTATGCATGCATGCATGCATGCATGCATGCTTGTATGTATGTGCACATCTACGAAGGCCGCCATGTCTGGAGATGGCGATCCGGCTGTGCGTGATGGTGTGGTGGCAGCAGATGAGACACAGGTTCGTCTCGGAGAGCCTAACCTGGTACTCGTAGTAGAGGAAGTAACGTTAGACCTTTTGGGGTGCTATAATCCCGACATGGTCACGAAGGTTGGTTGAGGTTTAGTTCCTCCACGACACTGTGCAAGTAAGCTGAGTTCGCAGGGCCGACCCTGTTGGGAAGCATGGATCTCGCGGGCCAAACCGCAGCGTGCAGGATCCGCTAGGGACACCAACTAAGCCGCTATTCACCTGGCGTAACACTTACCTATATTATTTTGGAGGTTCCATATTGTATTTATAGTAGTGTCGTGTCGGCTTAGAGCATCTCCGAGAACCACTGGAAATCTGATTTCATTGAAGTCGTGGCCTGCGCGCCCAGTGAAGCATGTGAATACGGGCATGTAAAGACCCGGCAACAGCAGCTGATTTGTGTGATGCTGTCTTGTCTTGCTTCTCAATCTGGCATCTTAGCATTTGCTGTGGATGTTATGTTTTACAATCGACATACTGCCGTCTCATGTCGGACTTCCGTTGTGCTAATTACTACATGCGACTTGAAACCCCTCAACCACAGCTTGTTGGAGTCCCTGCTGAAATCCTCAGCGCCTTCATCCGGGCGTAGATGCAGGCCCGCGCCATTTGGAGGCTTCGCGAAGGCGTCAGTGATGCGATGACTACGGCAGGTTATGTCTCCTGGCAGTGAAGTTCAATTGAAGATATGTCCGCTTCACATGTGAGCCTGACCTGGCTGGTATACAGAGATCACGTCCGACGTGGACGAGCAAACCTGAACAAACTCGACATCCTAAGGCATCGTGAGCCATTCAGATGACAGAAGAACACGTTCTGGTGCTGGACTGCCCTCAGCGTTATGCGCACACCCTTTGTACTGAATGGCTCCCAAAATTTGTACGTAGTTGCATGCAGGGTCAACCAACACATGTAGTAGATGCCACGAACGCATCTGCATGGGTAGTCCCGTCACAAACTTCAGCAGGATGTATACTTTAAGCAGCACTGAAGCCAAGGTGTACAAATACGACGTATCGCTGCCACTTCCTCGCATGTATGAGCTGGTCGAAGATACGCGGGCAAGGCTGCTTCAGCGTCGCAGCGGAGCAGTGCGACGTAGTTCCGGTGATCGCTCCGACTTGCCCTAAGGTGTCAGATTCCTTTTCTGCTTAAGTCCCTTACAGTATACGTGTCAAAATCCCAAAACAGAAAGTTTAGAAAATCCTCATGGAGCCCTCGCCTAGACCCAGGGCCTCAGATTCCGAAGCCATAAACCAGCTGAGCTGTGCAGGCTCCGAGATGCAGGTGTGGAGGCGCGACGGGTCGGTCAGAATGTGGTGTTGGGTATCAGGGCAATCTTACTCGGAGTTCGGCGAAAGTGCTGGACTCAGGGATTTTGTCGCGACGGTGTTGGAGCGGAATGCAGGGGCAGACGCGAAAACTGCGATTGTGAAGATCTGCTTTGCATTGGTCTGCTCGTGGCTGCTGCAGCACGTACTTACTACTTCTGTCACCATCATGTACACACCTGATGTTCTTGCGAAGCTCGGGCGGGGTGGCCGTGTATGCGCGGACGAATCCGACAGGAGTCGGCCAAAACTGCTGGATACGGGCATCTAGGCCGGACATCTTCGTGATCCTGTGGCAGGTTGTCCCTGGTTCATTCCAATCCCTGCCGATGCTTTCAACATCATTGCTGCGGTTCTCAAGCTCAAGCAGAACAACTGCAGTCAAAGGCTTCCGGATTGTCGGAAGCCCTGTAGAGCGATTTGACAGCTTCCAAGCAGGTACCTCCTGTTGTTCTCCAGAGTTAACAAGCCAAGCCCAACGTGGACTACGCGAAGCGTATTTGCAGCTTTCTGAGTGCAATGACAGTGTGGTTGAAGTTCGCCACAGCTGCGATACTGTTGAAGCCCCAGTCCCTATGTTTCTATCCCCTGGCAAAAAGTCATGTCTTCAAACCCCACCTGGACCCCGAAAGACGTACGAGGACTTCTGTAAGGTGAGGAAGTCATAACAAGGAACCCTAAAAAGGTAGTTTGTTCGGGTTAAGGTAAACCCTAAACCAAAACCGTAAACTCTAAACCTATGCCTCGCCACCCAAATCAGTGGCGGAGGCGATGCAAATCTCCACCTGAATGTGACGTCGCTGACTGGTCGGGACGACAAGGCTTGG